AATGTGGCATCAAAATGTAAAAAATACCAGTTTGTGGTTTCATGGTGTTTATACAAAAGATTAAACTAAAATAAAGAACATTGCTTGATTATCAAACTGTTATCTAACCTGTTTGATTGGGAAGTGTGTGGCCTGGTGGTTAGGGCATTGCTCTTTGAGTTCGAGTCCCACGGACTGACACTCTGGTCCCCTGAGCAAGACCATTAACCCCACACTGCTCCCAATGGCAGCCCACTGCTCCCCAAGGGGATCAGTTAAATGGAGAAAATTCATTTTGTTGCTCATTCATTTTGTGAACCGTTCCACCCCTAGTGTGTATATAAGAAGAACTGCATACTACTTGGATGTAAAATAATTGGCATCATGGCTTTGTCAAGCTGCTGCCTTCCTTTGTGAAGCAGGAAAAAGACTAATACAAAGTGAATCCAGTAGAACTTTTTATTGCCTACCTGGAATGGGTGACAATAGTTGAATAAACTGTTGGCTCTAAAATGGTATCGCTGCCCTATTTGTTGGTACTCGCTGATACCAATACCACCATTTTAGTGCTGGATCTGGGCCCTGCCTGATACTGGTATCGGTGCAACACTGGTTAAAATTGATATATTACGCTTTGAATGACCCAAAATTAACTTTTAAATCTAAAACTCCAATATCTGCTGTAAAGGACTCAGCCTGAGCTTTACGTAAATTGCCTGACTTTGCATGTTTATTCTTAAAAAAGTTAATTAATCCACTGGAATTTGTTTCAATGGATGAAGACATTTCACTTCCCATCAAGGAAACCTTTTCAAATAAAAAAAAAAATGTTTTTTTTTTTTTTAAGTATTTTTTGGAATGACTATGACCTGGATGACAGAATCGTCACCAGCATTCGGCATCACAGGACCACCAGGTGGCGCTTATGCCACAGTTTGGCCACCATGACATAGCACTACATTTCCCATCATCCTCTGCTCCAGGTAGAAAAACAGTTCAGCTGTTTTCTTCTTGTCTGCGTGCTGCTCCAGCCTGCAGACCTCTTTCTGTGAGGAGTTTGGACGAAAGGAAACAAACGCAACCAGAAGAGACAGGATCCGGGTCCACTCTGTCCTGTTCGTGGATTTTTCTCCAGTGGGGTCTGTACAAAAAAAAAAAACAGTCAAAATATCCTTCTAAAACTTTACTAACTTATCAATTGTCGTCTTATTGTTAGACAGGACATTAAATTAGGATGTAGAGGCAGTGTTGCGTTCACTGCACCTCCTCAGTCATAGCTGGATTCCTTCAGAACTTGCAGGATGCTGCGTTTACGGTCCGGTGTCTGGTTTTAATCAGAGGCCTGCAGATGGAGCAGGCTTTTCTGTCTGAATAGAGGCATGCACTTTTATCAGGGATGCAGAAAAGCCTGGTCAGCTGCTCACAGACACAACAATGCTGTTTGTTTCAGTGCAGCCAGATTCCACTTTTTATTTTGGAGCCAGTAGAGGATTGTGGCCCAGCTTTAGGTCACACCGCAGACTAATGAGCTTAAACTCAGTCCAGCTCAGCCACAAGGATCAGAATCAAAGGGGTCCAAAGTGGGCCACACTTGGATAATTAAAGTTGATGCACATACACATGAAAAACACTAAGATGTATTTTTGTCCCCCCCTCCCTAAACTTTACAGACAACTGCCCTATGGATTCCAAAGAAATGAGAGGATTTATTTAAGTTAGCAAAATTAAGACTAAGCCATCAAATCTGCTAGGACACAAAAAAGCTAGAAAAGATAAAATATGCTGGTGAAGGTTCTCAGTCATCCAAGTCATAGTCATTCCAAAAAAAAAATTTAAAACAATTTTTGAATTGAAAGCCCAAGTCCAGTGGATTGTTTTCAATTCATTAATTTATATATATATATATATATATAAAGATAAAATAGTTAAAAATATGAATACTTTCTTGTTTTTCTTTTCATTCAGGCAAAACTGCAAGCATGATATAGTTTAAATTTATGATGATTAGCTCCTCACTTTTCTGCAGAAATTGGTTTGCAATGGCTTTTTATTTAAATATTTTTAGTTTATTATAGAGCAAAAATATAACAAAGAAACATTTTTATTTTTATTTTGGAATTGACCAACCAAAATGCTTAACTTGACACCTCGGCTGTAGTTTAAAGCAAAGTTAGACTTGGTCATTTAAAAATCAGCCTTGTGGATACGGATATTTTAGATTTTATTCTAACTACAGATTAGTTGCAGCAGTAGCTAAACTGTAAAAGCATTGGAATATAAACAAGTTAGTTCCTCTTAAAATAAATGTTTTTTCCCTTAATTTGAGCAAGTAAGTAAAACAATTTGCCAGGAAAATAAGATGAATTATGCTTAAAATATGACAAAACAACTCCATTATTTATTTCACCTGCATAATGTATGATTATCTTTTTAAAAATACTGATTCCAATGGCAGATCATCTTATTTACCTGCTTAAATTAAAGGGAAATTCACCTATTTGGAGAAATCTTATCTTGTTCTAGATGTGAACAGTTCATCTTTATATATGAAAATGTATGAGACTAATTAGAAAGGAAAGAACAGAAACATCTAGTATTCAACTCTGTCATTCTTTTTTTAAGTAAATCAAAAACATTTTCAGGTATTTCCTTTTAAGGGAACAACAAATTTGTAACATTTACTCGGCAAAAGGCCAATTGTTTGGTTCTCATCCTGTAATCTGATATTATAAACATTCATATAAGGGAACAAAAGGACATTTGAACTCTCTCCTTGGTGACGTCAAATGCATATTGAGGATCTTGCTCAGTGAGACCAAAACAAAGCATTACTGCTATTGAGGAACGGAGTTCACCTCCCTCTCACTAGATCAATCCCTCTACATTAAAACATAGTGGTGGCAACATCATGCTCTGGGAAGCCAATGTTATATCTAAAGGGATGATAGATGGCACAAAAGGAAAGGACATGTTTGTTAGTTGTCCACATGCATCCACAGTGTAAAATAAAATCTGCAGATGTTAAAAGGACAGTTTTGCTACTGGATCCATTAGAGGAGCTGGAAAATTGACTAAAATAAGCCAGAAACGCCTGCTACGACTCTTATACTGTTCAATATGGATTTAAATGAATGGATTTTAAAGGGAAAACTAAAAAAACAAAGTTCGGTGTTTGAACTGTTGCACAAACTGGAGATCATCCTATCAGTTGCCAATACTGGTATCAGGTTAAAAACACTTTACAACCCAGTCCAGTCTGTCCATGATGGGATCAGGGGTGTAAAGTCCAAGACTGATAGGAATAAGGTTTGCTCCTTCACACACATTGCTTACCTGCTGTGGTGATATGAAGCCTCTAGCAGATCCGGGCTCAGGTTTGCTGACAGAAGCAGACATACAAACATAGAACCACTGATCTATAAATACTTTCTATGGTAGAAAATGTAAGAGTAAACGAGCTCCCCAGGTGGCGCTGTCTAGGAAAGAAACAGTTAAACAGATAAGCGCTGAACTAGTTTTATGTCAAAGGGATGAAAGAGAGCACACCCAGTTAGTCACAGTAAAATCAGAGCCCATAGCTGAGAGAAACAGGACAAATAACTGAAAAAAACAGACCAAACTCTATCATCAGATATCGATATCTGTCTCTAGGATGGAGTCACAGCCAAACCAGACTATATTAATCTACTATGATGTGAAAAATCAGAGAGATGATCATTTTAGATGTTAAAATAACGGGATTCGACCCTGGTCCTAAGGATCCACTGCCCTACATGTTTTAAATTGGTCTGTGCTTCTTCACCATTTATCATGCATTATTTAAGTCAGGTGTGTGGAGACAGAAGACCTAAAACATGCTGGACCATGGGAACCAAAGGACCAGAGTTGAAGACCTCAGAACTAGAAAATACTGCAGAATTGGAGAATACTGTAGAGGTAGAATGAGGGAAAAATGGTCCCTATGTCCTCCAGCAGTCTAAGCCTATAGCAGCATAACTATAGAGATAGATCAGGATAACCTGAGCCACTCTAACTATAAGCTTTATCAAAAGGAAAGTTTTAAGCCTAGTCTAAAAAGTAGACAGGGTGTCTGCCTCACGGACTAAAACTGGTAGTTGGTTCCACAGGAGAGGAGCCTGATAACTAAAAGATCTGCCTCCCATTCTACTTTTAGAAATTCTAGGAACCACTAGTAAACCTGCAGATTGAGGGCGAAGTGCTCTGTTAGGAACATAAGGAACTAGAAAAGCACTCGGATAGTGCAGACCTCTGCCATGCAGCAAATCTTGCCCCATAATGGCAAGAAACTTCCACCTGTAGCTCGAACTCGCACATGACCTGGATCATTACCAAATTTAAATGGTTTGGTCTTTGCCATGAGGCAAGCAGCTCTGGTAAAAGTGAAATGTCTTCAGTGAAATACCTAGGGACTAAAGTCCGATGCTGAGGCTGTCAATAGTCACTGCTGCCACCCTCTGGTTTAGTGGGGAACTGCCAGAAATCCTTATCACACAATGTTTGAGAATGTTTAAAAAAAAATTCCTGTGTACAGATTATGATCTGGGTCATCACCAACATTTCATGGATTGTTCCTTGGCCGGAGGGGCAACCCTGATAAAACAACCATTAAAATCTATTCTGGATTTAAGTGGAAGCCAACAGAGTGAAGCTAGGATATATATGATCTCTCTTTTTCATTTTCATCAGAACTCTGGCTGCAGCATTTTGGATCAGCTGAAGGCTTTTAACTGCAGTTTGTGGACTTCCTGATAGTAAAGAATTACAATCTGTCCAGCCTTAAAGTAACAAATGCATGGACTAGTTTCTCAGTGTTGGTGGTATTTCCTGAATGAAAATAGCATCTAGGTATTTCATTTTATAGTTGTAGACCAATGGCCTCTATGCACAACTCCATTTTTGTCTTTTTTTTTTTTTCTCTCAATAAATGATTATCCAAAAAGTTTTAGCAGGATTATGCATCGGATCATGTTTATATATTTTTCTCTCTACACAGAAGCATCATGTTTACAGCAGTGCTGGTTGCCTTGGCGATTGGAGGATTGATTATCTTCCTGGTTCAGAGAAGCAGGAACCATGTTTTAAAGTCAGAGAATGGCTGGTGGGGAGCCGGAGCGCCCCCTGATGCTGAGGAAGACGTCACCATCCGCCCCTTTAAAGTGACCACCAGCGATGAGGAGCTGGAGGTTAGCCCATCAGACGGACCCCAGACTCCACGGTGTCTTCATCCTCTCACCATCCTCTGTCTTTTCTCTGTTCTCTGTCAGGACCTCTACAGGAGGATGGACCAGACCCGTCCCGTCCCCTCGCTGGAGGACAGCCAGTTTAACTACGGCTTCAACTCCCACTACCTAGAGAAGGTGGTGTCCTACTGGAGGAAGGACTTCGACTGGAGGAGACAGGTGGACAGACTTAACCAGTATCCACATTTTAAAACCAGTATTGAAGGTAAGCCTGCACCACTGACGATGTAGAAACTACAGAGGCGCTCTTTGACTTATCTGAACCTTCTGAACTTCTATCCAGGCATCAATGTTCATTTTGTTCATGTGAAACCCAAGAATTTGCCTGAAGGGACACGTGCTATTCCCCTCATAATGGTCCATGGCTGGCCCGGCTCATTCTACGAGTTCTATGGGTTGATCCCCCTGTTAACGGAGCCTACAAATCCAGGGGATCTAGTGTTTGAGGTGGTGTGTCCCTCCATCCCAGGATACGGCTTCTCTGAAGCACCACAGAAGAAAGGTGAGTTTGTACAGACCAGAGCATGTGAGTCGGGAGGATGTTCGCTCAAAGTTTGCTCCAGGGCGCTCCTCTCAAAATCCGCTCCAAGATCACCTTCATTTTCCTCCGGCGACATCGCTCCACGCTCGCTCAGATTTTCAGGAGAAGGCATTTTCTGACATTTTCCCTTCATGTGATGATGCCAGGGCCCTGGGACACACAGTGTTTGATTAAATGATGTCATCGATACATGTGTATTGTCTTATTTTAACTGGCTGTTAAATTAACAAACTGTTTCCCAGCTGTGAACGTAACACCTCGCTACATTTAATCATTTAATTATTGATTGTTGAAAAATCACACTAAAATCAAATGTTATTTTCCAAATTTTATTATCCAACATTTTTTATTGACGTTGTGAGCGCATTTACTCGAACTGGAGCGAAGCGAAAGTCTTGCTCCGGCCTTTGAATTGAAAACCGCTCTGCGCTCCACCATATTTCTTCCGCTCCGCTCCACGGTTCGCTCCACGCTCCGCTCACATGCTCTGGTACAGACAGATGTCAGTGTTGGTTTAGGGCAGAGACGTGAATATACTGAGCCTAAAACGCCGTGACCACAGCCTGATCATGTGGAAATCAGTTAAAAATAATGTCAGGTGGGCGTGCAGGTGGCGTCGTGATTAGTGCGCACAACCCATGTACGGAGGCCTTAGTCCTCAACGTGGCCGACCTGGGTTAGAATCCAGCCTGTGGTCCTTTGACGCATGTCTCTCCCTCTCTCTCATACCCCCTTTCCTGTCTGCCTACTGTCAGAAAAACAAGTAACTAGTGCCATAAAACTAAAAAAATAAATAAATGAATAAATAATAATAATAATATCTGGCATTACATTGTAGCCCTGTTGATAGATACCATGTCCTGGAGATAAACAGTATATTTTCTCATTTTATTGATTGATAAAGAGAAAAAAACCCCAAAAAAACTGACTTTCCATTTCTGATGGAGCCTGTTTAAGTTAGCATTACGAAAATGTTTTACTGCTAAGGGGGCTATAAGTATTAAACTAAAATAGAACTTATGCGCACTACCTAAATGCTCTTATAGTTGTATATTTTAGATTTGATTGATTTAAGGTTTTGCTGTTAAACTTCCATCAGAAAACTCTGACATCTTTAGATAATATTTTACATATATTTAAAAGGAACATTTGGAAATTCTCCATAAATACATATATATTTATAAGTACAAGAATGCTCACTGTGAGGGATTCCCTTCGAGTCAATGACTTGATGCCATCAACTGGTTCCCCTTAGAAAACTTTTAATCAATCAGACTGGATGATCTGGTGAACTGTAAAAAAAAAAAAAACACTGTAACTTTTAACCACTAGGGGAGCTAGACTTTGGGATTCCTGGTTTAGCTCAATTAGTTGCACAGTGGCTAAATTAAACAGCCTCTCTTTTTGTTTGAGAGCAGACCACTTTTGACCAGAAGAGGCATGTTATTAGCTTCTAATTGAAAGAAAGATCTAACTCTGAAATATCTAACCCAGACTTACACCGAGCTCTGGGGTGTTTGATCCAGAGTACTCTAAAGTAGCTACACTGAAGCATCTTACTCTGAAGTATCTAACTCACCTTTGATCTAACTCTGAAGTATCAAGAGTTAAATCTAACTCTAAACTATTGTATCCAACTCTGATGTATCTAACTCCGGATTAGACCTAATTCTAAAGTAGCTTTCTCTAAATAATCTTACTCTGAAGTGGCTAATACTACCGTACGTTCACACCTAAAGCAGCAGAGGCAGCAGAAGCAGCTGGTTTACATGCAAAGTCAACGGTTGATGCGCATCATGGCGCAGCAAAAGGTCTCACAGGGCGTTTTAAGCAGCAGGAGCAGCGACTAACAAGCCTCTGAGCATCTGAGGCTCGGGACACGCTGCAAAGGCAGCAGGTGCTGGAGTTGGAAAAATTTAACTTTTGCTGCTGGACGCGCCACATCAACCAATCAGGGGAGCTTATCTGGAAGCTGGCAGGGAGACAGACACAGCACTGCTGATGCAGAGCGCTATGATCACTCCTCTGAAACAATTTATTAACTCCTAGCATTTAACATTTATTAAAGTACCTGCCGGTAAAATATGTTAGATTTCATTATCCTGGTGCCTGCAGTTTGGATTACGTAGGTGAAAAACGCCTTCCAGCCGCCGTGAACAGCAGCAAAAAACCGTGAATAGGCGACCAGGACAGAGGCTGCTGTTGAACTGGGTTCCTAGTGACAGCGTACCGCTGGTGTACAGGAGTCTGAGTGGCTCAGATACCAAAACAATATTTGAAGGCAGGATGGTAATCTGGATGAACTGACTGCACAGATGAAGTTTTCAGGTGTTACCATGGCGGCGCTCCAAGGCAGCTGCCAAGAGTAGCTCCTCTCCACAATTTATCAAAATATGCCACTTAAAACCATACAAACTAGACATCAAACCCGCATCTATCGCAAACGCCTGCTGGAGCTATGGTCACAAAATGTTTTAAATACTGACAGTTTTAACCATTTAAAAAGCTGCAGACAGATGTCAACAAACAACAGCTGAAAATAACGGACAGAGGAAGAGACGCGCAAGATGTAAAATGCAAGGCTGCAGAGGTGGGCTAACTGCAAAGCTAAAGAGAAATCCCCACAGACCACCGCTTCCATTAATCCTGCTCTCCAACATCCATTGGGAAAACAAAATGGATCGTCTCCGACTGGAACCGTCTTCAGAAACGGAGCTATGTAACGGCTGCGCCATCATTCTGACGGGTCTTGGCTGCATCCAGCAGTACCGGACGGTGCTTTTGGCCTGGGGGGGCTGATGCTCTACTGCGCCGATAGAAACACAGAGCTCTGCTTGAATGGAGGCTCCTCTGAGACTGTTCTCAAGCAATCTTCAGCATCTCGATGGGAAGCACTGCCCTCTGCAGGTGAAAATGAGGACAGCACCATAAATGCTTCCCTGCCAAATGCTGAAACATCGCCAGCCGGCTCCTCCCATACCCCTCCGGCTTCCACACCTTCTCCAGCATCATCTGTCGCTGCTAAACCTGCTGATGCCACCTCTGCTGCTTCAACCACGTCTACTTCTTCAGCCCAGGAGGCTACCATCTCACAGCATCGTCATCATCGTCCTCTTCCTTCCCTGAGCCAGGAGAAGCGAGTGCTTCAGGAGCTGGAGGCAGTAGCAGCAGCTCAACAACAGCTGCTGATTAACTTATCAAGGCTGCACTATAGAGAGCTGCTCTAAAGGAAATTCATTTTTCTTTACACTTGTGTATACAAAATGACAAAATAAATCTAAGTCTAAGGTGGACTTTTTAATTTAAAAACATATTAAAACTACTTTTTACCCACTGATCACAGCAAATATAGCTGCCATTGTTGCAGGCAAAGAAAGGATAGAGTAGCTCCGCCCAACACGGATCAGACCCACCGTTCCACCGTGCAGCTACAGCAGCTAAGATGCTTCAGCCGCGCATCAAAACTAAACTTGCGCTTTTTTGCTGCTCTTGCTGCTTGCAGTGTGAACATATCATAACTCAGAGTTGGATCTAACTCTGAAGTAGTTCACCCTGAATTGGTTAACTTGGATTTAGATTGAACTATGTTGTATCTAACCCCCAGGTTTCGATTCAGTCTGTGCTGCACGCATCTTCCACAAGCTGATGAAACGTCTGGGCTTCCAGCAGTTCTATGCCCATGGAGGAGACTGGGGTTGGCTGGTCACCACTAACATGGCTCAACTGGAGCCCAAGTAGGAGCCAACATCCCCCTTTGATGTTCCTTAAAGCAGATCCATTTTCTTTTCTGATCCAGACTCAACTTCTTATCTCCCCCTTAGAATTGTGAAAGGTTTGCACCTGAACTTTGCCCCACCCCCCAAGCCGGGGCTGCTCGTGGTTCTGTCCATCATTCTTGGCCGCCACTTCCCAAAACTTTTTGGATTCACTGACATGGATGTTGAGCGACTCTTTCCTTGCATGAAGAAACTGGTGGTGGAATCCATCAAAGAGTCCGGCTACATGCACATCCAGGCCACCAAACCAGACACAGTGGGTAAGAACTGACAGGAAATCCTTCTTATTTCATGGATCTTTAGCTTCTTCTAAAATGTTCCTGTTTTTAATGAAACCTACCTTAGATCTGTGCTTTTAAATAACTTTAAAGTGGCAGTAATTGTTATATTTTTGCCTCCTGCCAGGCCGGGCACTGAACGATTCTCCTGTCGGTCTGGCTGCTTACATCCTGGAGAAGTTTTCCACATGGACGGATCATGACTTCAGGAACCTGGAAGATGGAGGACTCACCAGGTTAGGCGGGAGATGTTTTTTCCTGAGGGTGCATGACATGTTTTCATCCAATACCTCTCACTACTAAACAAACACAGCCTTGTTTTATACTTGAGCATGTGCAGAAAGTTTTGGTGATGCAATGCAGCATCCTGTAGCCACAGTGATAATAGAAAGGTGGACCGAACAAGAAATGCATGCATCAGTAATTACATAAATAATGTAATTGCCGCATTGAAAGTACTTTTTATGCTTACATCATCAAATAATACTAAACTATATTTTATACAAAATATTTAACATCTTTTCCTAGAGGATTCTATGTGTTTTACATTCTGTCTTGTTTGTCTAACGTCATCATCGGACATGATCAGAGCAGTCCGGCAAAACATGATTACACCCTGTTTATCTGCATTTTATTTGACTTTCCTTAGATTATGTAATATAAATCCCTTTATTGTCCCACAATGGAGAAATTCACTCTCTGCAGTTTAACCCATCCCCTTGGGGAGCAGTGGGCTGCCATTGTGTGGCACCAGGGAGCAGTGTGGGGTTAAGGGTCTTGCTCAGGGACCCAGAGTGCAGGCTGCAGGGATCAACCGAGTACTTGCTCAAATTCCCCAAAAAAAAAAAAAAACCCCACAATCCCTTTAATTTGTTTCCAAGTTTGAAGACCTTTTGCTTCCTATCCAGGAAGTTTTTGCAATTCAAAAATATCAGAATTAGCTTTGAGTTTGAAGATTTATATAACAGCCCAAAAACTTATTTTGGCTTAGAAAACATGCAAATTGAACCAGAGGACGGTTCCACCCTTTGGGAATGGGGAGTTGTTTTTGGTTCTTTGTTAGCCTGCAATACCCGATACTGGTCTATGCCTCTGAAAGGGGGGACGTTAGGAGGAATTGCGGCTGGAAGTAGGGTAGGATCCTATTCTGGGATAGATCGGGCACATATGAGTAATAAAACAGAATGTAAATCCATTTATTCTCTGATAAAATAAATTATTAAACTTTCAGACATTGTAGTTTAGTATCCATCCATCCATTTTCCGTCACGCTTTATCCCAGCGGGGGTCGCGAGGGGTGCTGGTGCCTATCTCCAACTGTCTACGGACGAGAGGCGGGGTTCAACCTGGACAGGTCGCCAGTCCATCGCAGAGCAACACAGAGACACACAACCATTCACACACACTCACACCTAAGGAGAATTTACAGAAGCCAATAAACCTAACAGTCATGTTTTTGGACTGTGGGAGGAAGCTGGAGTACCCAGAGAGAACTCACGCATGCTCAGGGAGAACATGCAAACTGCTAACAGCTAAACATGCTAACTGCGAACAGCCCTAGGTCACACTCCATTGTACTTTATATAAAAGAGTAAAATAACTTTTTTTCTTTGCCTATTTATAAGAGTACTAAACTACACAATGGAACAGTGGGTAGCAATGCTGCCTTGCAGCAAGAAAGTTCCTGGTTTGATTCCCAGCCCGGGGTCTTTCTGCACGTTCTGTTTGCATGTTCTCCCTGAGCATGCTTGGGTTCTCTCCGGGTACTCTGGCTTCCTCCCACAGTCCAAAAACATGACTGTTAGGTTAATTGGCTTCTCTAAATTCTCCATAGGTGTGAGTGTGTGTGTGTGAATGGTTGTTTTTCCTGTTTGTCTCTGTGTTGCCCTGTTTGTCTCTGTTGTTTCTCCAGCTGCCCCGTAGACAGCTGGAGAAACAAACAGTATAGAACTAGAGCTGGTGAGTCAGTACGTCACTTACTAGGCAGGAGGAGGTAAACTTGTATTAATATCCTCATGAAACATCATGAAATCTAAAGAACTTCCGAAATAGAAAAAGATTCCTAGCTCACTGCTAACTAAAGAAAAGGAAAAGCTAACATAAAAGACAGCGATGGTTGACTTTCTACCCCAATCAATGGCTTACAGGAAGTTCTCTCTGGACGACCTGCTCACCAACATTATGATCTACTGGACTTCAGGCTGCATCATTTCCTCAATGAGGTTCTACAAGGAAAACTTTAGCAGAGGTCTGGATGCGCCCCATGCTAAGTGAGTGCTAACCCATCATGGAAAGCTAATGCGTTAAAGCTTTCAATGCTTCTTTCGCATTGCTTAACAGATGATGTTGTTTGTTTGTCTTCCCAGGATACCGGTCTACGTCCCCACTGGCTTCGCCTGCTTCCCCAACGAGCTGATGCACACGCCCAAGCTGTGGGTCCAACAGAAATACCACAACCTCATCAGCTTTTCTCCTATGCAGCGCGGCGGCCATTTTGCCGCCATGGAAGAGCCCCAGCTGATGGCTGAGGACATCCAGAAGTTCACGAAAACAGTAGAGAAGCAACAGCCTGAGAAGAAGCAGTAGAAAGTTGAATGATCAGCCTTGCTTGGTGTGGAATTATTCTCTTAGTGGCTTAGAACAATATATGGTGTAGTCACTGTACGACTGAGTATCAGGGACACGCAAGAGATTCTACTATTTCGAAACTAAAGTCGTAACATAACGAGAATAAAGTCGTAAAATTGCGAGAATAAAGTTGTGAAATTATGAGAATAAAGTGGTAATATTAAGAGAATAAAGTCCTAAAATTACGAGAAACAAGTTGTGTTTTATGACAATTCTTACAAGAAGCACGGTCTTCCCTAAAACTTTATTCTCGTAATATTATGACTTTAATCTCGTAATGTTACGACTTAGTTCTCGTAATATTACAACTTTATTCTCGGAATGTTACGACTTTATTCTTGAAATTGAAGCAAAAAAAATCTCTAGCCTGGCCCTAATACTCTGGTCATCTCTGGTATAGTGGATTCCCACAGACGGCTGAGATGTATGGTCAGCCTGTGCCTTCAAAAGCTCCAGGTGTTGCATAAATCATTGATTTTTGATTAAACTAATTTGTGATTTCCGTCAAGCTGCATGGCTATGAATCAAGCCTTTTGCTCAGTGCAATCCTTGGTGTTAAAAAGAGTTCAATAAGCAGCTGCAGATGGGGGGGCAGAGAGTGTTATTGTGTTGACAGCTCAGACGAGGTGCCAAGCATTCCTCTGACTGATAGCATGAGGCCTCTGCACCCAGGCCACAGCCGTAATAACACCCACCAACCCAAACCTTCAGATTAGGCTTAATACCTTCTTTTGCTTCAATTTAGACACATTTCAATTTTCTTGAAACCAGTTTGTAATTATTTAGCAGACAAAAGTCCCACGTATTGTTTTATTGTTTTACTGTTTTTACATCTTCTAGAATATTCTCATCAGGATGAGTGACAAATATAAATCTCACCTAGAAGCTGTTATATTGCTAGTGGGAAGCGGCTGTCGGTTTGGTTCCCCTCGCACTCTAATGATGGTTGTTCTGGAAAAATTCTTAAGTCTTTGAAATCCATCAGACCAAAGTACATTAACCTAAAATATAGGTTTGGTTATTTTAAAGTGATGGCTTCTTCATCTCCGAGTGGCCATTCAGTCCATACTAATAGTAATCCTCATATTTCTCTTGCTGCAGTCTTGGCTGAAATCTTTATTTTTTTCCGATCATGTCACTTTTCCCATTGATGGAAGCATTTTTCTAGGCGTTGCATTCAAATAAATTCACAGGTGTGTTTCCATTTAACCCAAGGTCATCTCAAAAAGCAGAACCTTTCCATCCAACCTTTCCCATCCATATTCACCTAGAGCAAAGGTAACCAATTAAAAATCAGTAGGGTCCGAATAAAGAAAATCATCAACCAGTAAAGGTCCAGAGACATTTTTAATTATAATCTGTTACTTTAAACACAATTTAACACTGAAATAAGATGCAGGTGTTTATGCATCCATGTTATACATTGACTTTTTAAATAAAAAAAAATGAAAACGTCAGACAACATGGGGTAATTTATAAATGTTTCAAATCAGGTTTGGTCTGGATTAACCAGCCAGTTGGTCTGGATCCAGACCACAGTCTGCTAATCTGTGACCTCTGATCTAGAGTGTGGAAATGTCTGAATTAGTTTCTTAAAAAAAGAGAAAAAAAAACATTCACATATATTCTTGCTTTCTGAGCTGACCTAAAACAGAAAAACTCATCCTGATGACCATCGAACCAGGTCAGGATGTTTATCCATCCCGAGATAAATCACAGAGCAAAATGATAAACTGTAACAGCTTAAAATCAGTGGACACAGATTTATCCAACTAAATCACCCACAATAATTTGGACATGGCAAGAAAGAATCTGCAACAATAATTAAAAAAGAAAAAACTAAAGGAAAAAGAACTCCCATTTTGGATAAAGTTTTTTTTTTTAAAGCTTTATCCGAAAGCTAAACTAGCATAAAAAAAAGAAACAACCAGAAAGCTCTGAAGCAAACAGACTGAAGAGCGGTCTGTTGCTCCTTATAAAGTCTTTATGGGGGGGGTAAACTGTTGTATCACCTTGAAGTTAATATGCAGAGGTTCTGTTACCTCTATGTTGTCCTCAGTACTCGAGCTGAGGGGGGATAGCATCCCCCTTCTTAAAAAAAAAAAAAAAATCTTCTTAGATAACCATCCCCCCATACTATCCCCTGTATCATTTAATTATTGAATGTTTAAAATTTCTACTATATATTAACAGTAACGGCAATAATATTGCCATTTGAACATTTGGGCTGTGGGCTTTAAAGAAGTGTTCTACCATGACTATGAAGCTGATCCCGGTGGGAAATGAGTCCCTAACTGTAGGAGCAGTGATAGCCATGCCAGTCCAGGGACTGACTGCAGTTCTACTGTAAGGTGCCTTGGTCACGGTCAATGACCGGTGTACCTGACATGTAACAACCATAGCATGCATAGTGCTTTAGGTTAGTAGAATATATTAATTAGGTTATATATGCTTCCAAAAAAAAAAAAATCCACCATACCCACCATTTTTTTTAAACTAGACTACTGGTTGTTCCCATGCAGTCACTAAAGAGCTCATAGTTTTTAGAAGGTGATGATGATCTGCACCATCGGATACCATGGAAAGAATGTTTTCCAAAGCAGCATAAGTACAGAGGGCCAAAAAGGTCCGTAGTCTAGATCAATGTTCCCTCTGACGTTTCATGCGTCTGGGTCACTGTGACATCATCAGAGCTACTCGCTTTGAACACACACCAATATTACACCCAATTTAAAACCAGATTCATAGCAAGTTACATGGTTTGTTTAAAAAAGTCAGAGTCCTGCTTTGGCCAGGCTGATGGTCCTGCTCTGGAAGAAATGAGACACTTTGATATAACTGTTTGTTTATATTAACATATTTACAATAACATTTTTGCTTTAGCTTGTGATACAGTATTAATTCATCTAACTCTTTGTACAATATTTAACTACATGGTTTTAGAGGTTCTACTAACATAAATAATTTAATAGTAAAGCATTTCATGATGATAATATTCATTAATAATAAATCTGATTTAAATGTTACTCTTTCTTTTTTCACATCTTGGTTGTCCACTTGTCCTCGTTGTCGGCTCAGTCTGCTTACTGTTTCCTTGAAATTTGAATAACAAACAGTTGCTTCTTTTATCTTCATTGTTTTAAGTTGAAAAACAAATCATTGAATGATACAAGGATTGAAAATAATGCATAAAAAATGTTACCAGTCTCTTTTATTTATGTGCTGCATAGATATTCTTGGGCGCTGAGAATGTGTGAGCAGTGCGTGACTGCACTAGCACGCAGCTAAGAGGGAACATTAGTCATGATACTTCCACCCCCGTGCTTCTTCTCTCCATCCTTCTTACCTGGTGTAGATTCACTCTCCCAGCCTGGTTCAGGTCTACAGTTTGCATCCTGCTGTCCTTCAGCAGACCTTTGGTGTTTTGGCCTTTGTTGGGTTTGGAGTCAGACTGTTTGAGGCTGTGGACAGGTGTCATTTAGACAATGAGTTCCAACAGGAGCCATTAAAACAAGTAATGAGTGGAGGACAGAGGAGAATAAGTTAGAGGTCTCTAAGGGACTCACACTTGTTTGTTATTAACCACATCTTTATTTTTCTCCATAGTTTACAAATGATCTCTTTGAATAGTGATTTCCTGTTTTTTTCTCATTCCGTCTCTCATAGTTGAAGTGTAGCTATGGTATAAACAGACCTCATATTTCTATGTGGTAGAAATGAAACAGTCTGGCTGAATTACTACTTTCTTTATTTCCCGTTGCATATGTTGGTAGACCCCACCCCGGTGAAGGTTGGTGTTTGATGAAGTGGTTTAACTTTAGGAACTTGCATAAAATCATAGTCACCTGTTTTACTGACACTGAACGGGATTAAGATGCCTAATCTGGTTAGAATGATTAACCTAATCTGGATGAAGGATTGGATTTGTTTGTTTTTACAATAAAAAATACATGTAAAATATTTCATACATGTGAATTGCATTTTTTTTGTAGTTTTTAGTCTTATCCACATTGATCACAGGGAATCCTTTTGAGGAAAACCTGCTCTGATTTGAAGAGACTGCATCCATCCCACTTAGGATGGTAAGACCCCTCTTTTTAGGAATCTGGCCAAATGTATAAGTCCTCCACAATCAGACAGTCCAGGGAGCATACTATGAAGAAGAGTCGTAGTTTACCAAACCTCTCTGCAGCTTCTCTACTGTTACCCACTCATTACCCCATCCAGACAGTGTATTGCCTACGACCAAAATCAAATAAATTAGAGCAGAATTCTACAGGAGTAAATCATGATAATCTAATTAAAATTAAATGCCTACAGGAACCTACCTAGTCTGGAAAAATAGTTTACTGCTGCATAAGATGACCCTTCGTTAAGCAAGAGCAGAATATACCAAAATATACCAAAAATACCGTTGCAAAACTCACCCAGAGTCGTAGCTCTGTTGCACCTTCCTTCCCACCTGCAGTAATGATTTTATGGGATTCTTTATAAATAAGAATCATTCTGTTAAAAATAAGTTCATTGGGGCCCCTATAAATGTTTATCTCCAGAAGGTGAGATAGCTTTGTTTTGATCCAGTTTAACTTTCAGAGTTAGCAAAACTATTTTCTTCATCTAAGCCTTCAACTTGTATGTTAGATCCAGTATCCTGAGCTACCAGTTATGCTGCTATAGGCTTAGACTGCTGGAGGACATAAGGACTCCTTTTCCTCATTGTGCTTCATTCTATCTCTATCTCCCCATTCTTCAGTGTTTGTTTGTTCCACCTCTAACTTTATGCTCTCTCTGCTTAATGTTGCCATAGTAGCTTCATCGGGTCTGTTTCTGCTTGACTGTGACTGAGCCTGCTTCTGCTGGAGGTTTCTTCCTGTGAAAAGGAAGTTTTCCTCTCCACTGTCACTAGAAGCAAGTCTGGTGTGAGGGGTTGCTGTGGAGACAATGAGTCGATGCAATCAACTTGTTTTCCTTGTGACTGTATCATCTGGTGAACTGTAAAGTGCCTTGAGATGACGTGTTGTGAATTGGCATTATAGAAATAAACTGAATTAAATAACTAGATTGAATATTTTCTTGTATCCCAACAACAGAGATTTTCTTTTACAACTGCTTTGTTTGTGGTTTCTTTTATAAGAAACCATTTCATCCATCTGTCCATTTTCCGTCAATCTTTATCCCTGCTGGGGTCATGAGGGGTGCTGGTGCCTATCTCCAGCTGTCTATGCGACGGGGTCCACCCTGGACAGGTCGCCAGTCCATCACAGGGCAACTCAAACAGGACAAACAACCATTCACACCAAGGAGAATTTAGAGAAGCAAATTAACCTTATAGTCATGCTTTTGGACTGTGGGAGGAAGCTGGAGTACCCGGAGAGAACCCACACATGCTCGGGGAGAACATGCAAACTCCATGCAGAAAGATCCCCGGCCGGGAATCAAACCCAGAACCTTCTTGCTGCAAGTAATTCCGGTCTTTTAGATAAAGTTCAGCTGATAAGTTTTCCTTTATTGGTTCTAAGTTCTGCATACTTTACAGTTCAAAGAGTTGCTCTTTCCTCAGCTTAGCTTAATAAAACTTACTTAGAGCCACAGATGTTGTGAGTTTCTGGATAAAACACATGCTTTTTGATAAACATCTCTGTAAGATAACCTGTTTTATCTTTATTTTAGGTTTAAAAAACAGGATGGTTATATCTTTTATAAGATGGTGATATTTGTGGAAAACAGTGAAGCCATTACTTTTTCCAACCTAATATCAGTAGAAATAGATCATAAAGAAAAATACGTTCCTCTAGCGATCAGGTGAACGATCAATTGTCCTTAATTTCCTTAATTTGTGGGAGATTAGTAATCTGATGTGTTCCCAGATGTGAAACCTGCAGAGGCCGCTGTCAATGTTCCAAAACTATTCATTTTTAATTTAATGTTACTTTGTGTAGTTTAAACAAATAATTTTTTCATGTGTTTTTTTTTTCTTTCTTTTTTTTTAAGATTTAGGAAAAAAAAGAGTTAAAAATTGCTGCTGTATTGGTATTGATATAAATTAAATCAATCCAAATCCAAATCCATATATCAGTATTTTATAAATCATTGATCAGCCCCCCCAAAAAAATATTACTGCTACCTTTAGGATCCTTCTCATTCAAATATTTAAAACAAATAAAAATACTTAAAACCTTCTATATGAACTGGTTCTATAGTTGTTGAGCCACAGGCTGCAGAGCACTGCTCCTAGACTCCCAGTAAATCTCCAGGTGGTTCTGGTTGCACAGTTTTAGAACCGAGGCCTGAATGTTCTGGAAGCTCTGCTACCTGGAAGAACAGCTCCATATTGTAAAGTGATCCAAGCACTGGGAAAAAAATGCATTTTTCTTAAAATAAGTGCATTTTTCCTTGATTTGAGGAGGTAAGTGAGACACTTTGCCAATGGAAAAAGACAATTTACATGTAAAATAAGAAAATAACTGTTTAATTGTCTAATTTCAAGTGGATATTATCTAATTGTCTTATTTTAAGAGTAAAAATCCTCATTCCATTGGCAAATCATTCTATTAACCTACTCAAATTGAGGGTAAAAACACTTAATTTAAGACCTTTGGACTTATTTCTAAATTGTTTTTGCAGTGAAGATAATGACTCCAGTTGTGAAGGGATTCTTCAGTCTGATGGTTAGAGGAGTGTTTTAACCAGAACATACATTAAGACATAACAGAACCTCTTTAACCTTTTCCACCTGCAGCTTTGACCAGGAGGCATCCCTTCTGGGAAGATGTTCTACGTCGGGATAAATTCATCTAAAATATCTGTTGGAGTTAACGATTCAAAGTCAGTTTTACCAAACTCCTGTCCGTCTTTGGCAGGGTTCAATGTCGCGCTGCCCTGCAGCTTGGATCCCACCCCTGTCCAGCTGTTAGCAGAGCTCTGAGTTTCCCAAGGCCCCCCCGGTGCCCTGGCCCCCTCCCAGTCCCCCACTCCCCCAGGCCCTGACTGCTCGCCCGTCTGCTCTTCTTGGCAACCGAACAGCCAGGGGAGGATCAGGATGACCGGGCGGCTGAGATAAGGACCACATGAAGTTTCCCGCATTACCTCACCCCCGATTAGGAAACAAGCCCAGAGACACGCAGAGCAGAGGGGGGAGGAACCCTCTGGATGGACAGGGATGAGGCTACGAGAGGCGGCCGCCGTGTCTGCAGTCTTCACCAGCTGCCTGATGGTTGAGGGTGGGCCGGGGGTCCTACAGAGGATCAGGAGCGTTGGGGTAGCAGACCAGAACCAGAAGGATGCGATGAGTATTTAAAGCTGCTTCAGTCAGTAGCTTCTTCTGAGATCTGGATCAGGCTCTAAAGATGAGAAGATGACCTCAGGTCATCAGCTTTGTTGTGTTTTCACTGAATTACCTACCAGACAGAATGAACTCTCCTCACTGCTGCCTGCTGCGCTCTGAAGCAGACCTCCATCCGGCCAATCAAAACACATCCAGCAGAGGGGGGGGGACTTCTCCGCACCTAAATGGCGTTTGCTGCTGCTCTCCGGCCGGATCCATGGCGGTCAGTCCTCTGGAGGGTCTCATGTCAGTGACAGTGAAGCAGCAGCTGGGATCCAGCAGCGCTGCAGCCGACCGCCCAGCATCCCTGCAGGGACCCAGAGACAAATCCAGGAAGTGGGTGAGTCTGGACTCAGTTCGCTCTGATGAAACCTGGTTTAACGCAGAGCAGCAGAACTCATTCAAAGGAGTAGGTGAAACATGCAGACTGTTTTTAGATCGCTCGCGTTTAATTCAGGAGCGTTAATCTAGATTAAACTGGTTGCTTAATGATAAAGGAGCAATAATCTAATACTTTAACAATAAATCTGCATATTTACATTTGTTCCACAACACCTATTACTGACTAAAATACATCAAAACTCATAAATCACTTTATTCATCTTCTTTAAAATCAATATGATTAACTGTAGATATAAATCCACTAAAAGAGCAATGCCTGGTCCACAAGGTCTGCACCTATTTATTGGTTTAGTTCATTTAAACAGAGAAATTAAATTGAATTAACCCTTTAAACGCGTGTTTGAGATTAAAAAGCGAACTTTTATGCATTTTGAATCATGTAGGATCAGGACAGAAACCTGAAGGCAGTCAGGCTTGAATGAGACGAAGCTGGAAGAGAGTTCCTACATTTCAGGACGTCCTCAGGTCTCAAGGAAAAGGTCAAAAACTGTCAGTAATCCGGTATTAGGTATCGGCTTATGAGGAAAACGATTTTTAAAATTAAGTTAAATTTTGACCAACAGAGCAAATATTTTAGTTTAACAAAGCTACATTCTCACCTATAGACATGTTACGTTTATTTTTTTGGTTTTATGGACCAATATCCTCACCGAGCTTAGAAAAACAATGTCCTAATTCTCAACGCTTTCCAATTCCTCCTCCTGAAACTCCATCAAATGTGGCGGATAAATGTGTCCTTCTATCCAGAGTGTCCTTCACCGCATTTTTCCCATAATTCATCTGGGGTCAAAGCGGATTGGTCGAGCTCACACAGCAATGCTGTATGACGGTCAAAAAATTAGGATTAAATATTGATATGTTACGCTTTCTATGACCTATAATAAACTTTTCAGAGGCAAAGAATGTTGCTTTGTTAAACTAAATATCAGATCAGTTGGTCAAGATTTTACCAAATATATAAAAAAGTTTTTTTTGAGACGTGAGGATGTCCTAAAAATCTAAACCATATTCCTGCAGCAGGATGTTTGAGTGTTGGTATCAGGCTTTTAGACAATATGATCTGTAACACCTGATTGAAAAGAATGAATTTCATAAAACTGAATCTGAAAAATGTTTATAAATTAAATTAGAAAATACTAAATTAGTAGATAAAAATATAAATAAAAAAACATTTGAAAAAAAAAATTAATCTCTGGTATGATTTTTTTTTTAAAGGATCATGCGTTCCCTCCTCTACTGTACTTTGGAGCAACGATGGAGCAAAATCCATAAACAAATAAATATAACCTCTTCTACAATAAATACAGACCAGTTTAGTAACATTATCTATAAACAGTCTGGATGTAAATCTGATTGCAGATGGAAATAAAAAGCAAACGATCTGCAGAAAGAGCTGAAAAAAGAGGAATAATGTTCCTTCTTATTGATGCTGGAAGGCCTCAGATAATTAATACAAAAACCTGTTAATGCTGTTTAATGTTCAGTATTTATTTCCTCTTGGTTAATGTTTCTATATATATATATTTAAATAAAATCTGACAAGGAAACAATGTTGTTCATTTTTTTGTGAGATTTTATTTTAGCTTTATGATAATCATCTGTGATGAATGCAGAGACAGAGTCCTACTTCCTGTTGTTGTTCTGAGGTGTAGTTGGATCAGAACAATGGCTGCTGATCAACAGGGAATCCTCAGCTCCTAACTGAACGGCTGAAATGTGTTTTAGGAGCAGGCTGTGTGTGGGTCCAGGTCCCACTCTGGCCCCGTGCTCCACAGCAGGCCCCTGAGGACTCAGCACTCCCCAGAAAATGCAGCCAGAGAGAGGAGCAGAGTGCGTAACCTGCGGCAGGCCTTCCACAGCCTACAGGTATGTTTAACTGCTTTTCCTCACCGCCTCCTTTAAGCGGCCGTCTAACCTCAGAGGTTAATTTGTCTCCAGGCAGCTCTGCCTTCAGTCCCACCTGACACCAAGCTCTCCAAGCTGGATGTTCTGGTTCTGGCTACAAACTACATAGCACACCTGACAGAGACGTTGGACCAGGACGGGGGGGTGATGGAGCACTCTGTGCCGCCCCGGCCGGGCGGGTACCTGCATCCTGTTAAGGTAAGGAACCAATAGAAGTTCATCCTTTTCTCTCCCTTCCTTGTTATTTTTTTTATGAACTGTTCTTTTTATTGCCAGAGGAAAATATCCTCCTTATAGAGTGAATCTGAACGACCAGAATCACCAAACTGTTTGATAAAAGCAGTAGAGGACACAAAAAAATACATTTGAAGTAACTATGAGCTTATCATGCCGTGCATATTATTTCGCACTTTAAAGAAGCGGAGCGAATCGATTCCCTAATCTGAGAAAATACAACATTTCAGTTGTTTTTTTTATCTGCTTGAGATGTTTTTTTTTCCAGCATAAAGAAGAAAGCAATCTTTTTTAAAGTCATAGAGAAATCATATTTAAATGTTAAATATTTCTGGCTTAAACATGCATATAAATGTACTCTTTATCAGATAATACTGGTATAATATGTCCCAAAATTTAGAAAATTTCTATTTAAATAAAAATCCTGTCTTAAAATCTGTGTTTTTTTTCCGTTATCTTATTCAGGCCAGTTAGTTATATGTCAGCTTGTACACCTAAATTCAGCCAATCATATATCAACGGTCATCTGTCAATCAAATGTTTTTGGTCATAGCATCTTGATTCAAATGTCGCAGCTAATATAGGCAACGGTTGAAATCAGAATCCTTTCCTTCTCCATTGAGTTCCGTCCCAGTGTTCACGGGGATGGACGTCTGTGTCTTCAGCAGGCGTAGAGCTAACAGAACTGGCACCGTTGTGAGGCAAGGGCTCAAACATGTACGGCTGGAAGCCTTCTACACCAAACCAAGCTTCTGCCGCCCTGGCGTCCTCTTCCACAACATCTTCGTCCTCGCTTTCCTCCTCTAAATCTGCCAAAACAAAAACATCCTTGATAATCGACCAATCACATTCACTTTATTCACTCGTGTGAAGTTTTTGGCCATTTTTTGGCCCCTATACCGATACCCGATACCATCTGTTTGAAATTGATGTGTGTGTGTGTGTATATATGAAGAACTGCATACTATTCGGATGTAAAATAATAAGGTTGAGAACTACTGCTCTGTTCTACTAATTGGAGAAATTTGTATCTTTTTAACAAATCGAATGTTATTAGCTTCCAGATAATTCAACCAAATAGCTTCCAGTGAATCCACTTCTGTCTTCCTCTGTTGGATTATTGGGTCTGAGTTGATGTTTTCCAATTATCTGCTCACACAGCTTCTGATCAGGTCAACTTTCCTGAATTAATCTACATTCACTCACTGAAAAAAAGCTTAGCTTAAGCATCCAGGATGAAAACAGAGGCTTCAGAGGTAATCCAGTGCATATGTAGATCAGTAGACATCTAGAGAAGGCGCTAGGTGGCATGAGCTGTTTTACAGACAGATACAGAGTGGGTAAAATTCTCCAGGGAGAAAAGGAAAGCAATCAGCAGCACCTGGAGGCTCATAGAGATCACATGGTGGGCTTGGATGAGTCCAGAGGGTCGTTTTATACTGGATGAAACCTGAAGAAGATGCTGGATGGTTTCTACAGAGAGGAACTGCCAATATTTGACAGGGCATGAAGAGTTTGGGAAAGAGGTTTCGACGTTTAGTCCTTCTGTGGCCAGATCTGAACGTGACAATTAACTTTAACCTAACCGCTACCAGTTCATACCTAATCTTAACCTAAACTCAGTCCTAAACCTTTGGGTGAAGACCAGCAGATGTCCTCATTTTGGTACAAACAGTCCTCAGTATAGAATAGAATAGAATAGAATAAAAAAAAAATCAATTTATGTCCCACGATGGGGAAATTGTGGTGCTACAGCAGCAAAAGGTTATAGCAGAAGTGGTCACACAATGTCCGTAGTGTGATAGAAATGATCAAAACTGGTCCTCACTATGATGCCAAAACAGGAGGACACACACAGAAACACACTGCATCTATCAGGCAAACTACAGTTAAACCCCAAACCACTCACACCTCGCTCAGGTTTACCTTTAAAGTCACATTTCTCTCTACTGAGCTCTTTGTTTTACTGTAAATAAAATAAACCATTTTAGAGCAGCGCCTCATTGAGAATCTATAGAGCAAAAGATTAGGGTGATGGCAATGAGCCCTTCAGTAAAGATAAACCACGAAAGAAAAAAATCAAGCAACAATCTGCTGAGCAAGAGTAGTGAACTTTTGGACTAAGAGTGAGAGTCAGGTATATATATATAATCAAAATCTAGATAAGTCATTTTTTCTTAAAATAGGGGCATTTGTTCTTGGATTAAGGAGTAAAAGAGACATTTTGCTAATGGAACAAGACAATTTACATTTAAAATAAGAAATGCATTTTCTTTTTTCAAGTGCATTTTATCTAATTATCTTATTTTAAGAGTAAAAACTACAAGCACATAATGAAATTAAAGGTAAATATGCTTAATTTAAAAAATCTTTACTTATTTCTAGATAATTTTTTGCAGTTTATATATATATATATATATATATATATATATATATATATAGATCTAGAGATATTTAGATCTATATTTAGATCTATATATATGAAAAAAATCTATTTTTCTTGTTCTAAAATGTTCTGATGTGAAAAATGTTTTTTTTTTTTTTACAGAAACAAAATTAACAAATTTTTCCCCAAGAAATCTTTATACTAAGAAAGTTCTTGAACAAAAACAATTTGTAAATCTAAATCTAGCAGCACATGCATCATTCCAGGGGTAAAAGTATCTGTTTGGAGACCTTTACTTCCTGTTTGAACCATTAAAATCTTCACCAAACTGGTGTCCAGTCTAGCTGCTCTAGCTCTAACACTGCTGACCCATCACTCAGGTAATCCTTAAAGCGAGTGTAAAACTTGTGCAGTGTACATATGACCATCAGCACTGTGCCTCTCTATCCTCAGAAGTGGCCCATGCGTTCCCTCCTCTACTGTGGCTCTGTGGGAGACCTGCTGTCAGCCAATCAGAGACCTCAGCACGGCCATGACGCCACGCGCCCTCTGACACCAGACGAGCAGTGAAGACCCACCATCCCTAGATCGATCCCGTCGACCATCTTCAGCTGCCATGAAGGCAGCTGGGGAACCGAAAGACAAAAACTGCTTTTTATCATTTTGTTTATTAATATACTTTCACCACTTTGCACAGAGACTGAACAGAACCTGAAGTTCCATTTTTCACATTTCAAACAAATGATAATGTATTTTATGAAAATATTATGTGATTTAACTTTTACTCTCAACCTATTTGTAAAGTGATTGATTTTTTCTTTCATTTTTTAAGCCTACCGTATAGAATTTAAACTAATTACAGCAAAGTTTGTGCTTCAATGTCACAGAGTGTGGAAGAATAAAACCCTTACACATGCACCACAAGATTTAAATTTACACTTGTTTGAAAGTTTTCTTCTCCTGAAGGAACGAGCAGCAGACTGTCAGGAAGGGGGTTGATAAGAGGAAATAAAAAGTCTGAATCACTTGACTAATTATCCCACAAATCAGCACATGAAGGAACAGCGTGTTACTGATTACCCTGATTTAGAGTCTTTTTTTCTCTCGCAGCATGTAAGCATGTTTTTTTTTTATAAAATAAAATGTATGTTTGCCAAGGTTTGAGTTTTTCTGGGGGGTGTTTTTGGGCTCTGTGTGGGAGTGGCAGGATGGACGGACAGGCGGGCAGCCAGGGAGGGGTTGTTGTGGGAACGCAGCAGCTGTCTGACCACTTAGTTCTCATTACAGCTCCGCCACAGAATGTAACCTCTCAGCTCCGTGAAAACATCACAATCATTACAAGGAGAAGGCAGATCATCCTCTAAACGTTTCATTAGATGAGAGAGGAAGCTTTAGGAAGGCGGCTTTGTTATCTTTAAAAGACTTTTGAAGGTTTGTGCTGCACCAGGAGTTAAAGCTTAATAATTAACCTATAATAAAAAGTATTCCCAACCCATTTATCACTTTAGAACCATAAACATCAATGATTTCATTGGGATTTTATTTGATAAAAGATTTCAGCCGGTGACCCCAAAAATCCCAGAGAAACCGACTGTTTTGACCCATTAAAAAAAAAAAATCTAATTTTAAATATAGAACAATTATGCTCCTTTTTTTTTATAAACAACTTTATTTCTTATTTAGCATTTATTTGTTGACTGTATAATTTAAATTGTGCGTTTTATTGAATATTTAATATTTAAATCATATATTAGATGAATAAATCAATGTTACATCTATTTATTTAAAGCTACGGCTGTTTATTTCAGGGTAAATTCATGTTTAGCTCCCAGTAGCAGGAGAAGAATAATCTGTAGGAGTAGAAACATCTAAAAAAGAATAAGTGATTCCCATGAAAGCCAGTGTTTTATAATACTTAGTGGCCAGAGTTTAAACATCCCTTCTACAGTTAGATAACTAAATGTCACAGTTATTTAAGAAGGTTGCCAATAACCTCATTTTAGATATTAGTTTAACAGTTATTTCTGATAGGACTTTTGTAAATAGCACACATTTCATAAAGTGTTATTTTTTATGCATCTAACATATATATTTTTTAAAGTTCACCAAAGCTGCTTTATTACTATTCCTTTGTATGATCAATATGATCAACTTTAATTGATACATTTTTGGAAATTCTTTACTTTAACTGAGCATTTCTGCCTGTGTTAAAAACTGAATCAGTTCAATTCATTTCAGTTTATTTCTATAGCTCCAATTCACAACACATGTCATCTTAAGGCAATTTACAGTTCACCAGATCATCCAGTCAGATTGATTCAAAGTAGATTGCATCGACTCACTGACTCTTCAGCAATCCCTCACACTAAGCATGCTTGTAGCGACAGTGGAGAGGAAAAACTCCCTTTTAACAGGAAGAAACCTCCAGCAGAACCAGGCTCAGTGTGAGCGGCCATCTGCTGAGGCCCACTGGGGTTCAAGGAGACAGAAGCAGAAATACAAAAGGCAGCTATTAAGGGTGACTCCAGCCAGGAAACACGCAGCCAGGAAGACGAGCATCAGTGCAGGTAATTGTTGGAAGGATATGTTTAAGTATATTACCTGAAGCTGCTGCGGGGGTACAGACGAATCCTGGCTTCATCTCTCTAATCCCAGTTCTTGTCTGCCTACTTTAAAAAATAATGGCCACTAGAACCCAAATATGACCTTTGAAAAACATTAATTATTTAATTTGCAAAAGTTTGACTTAAAAAAATGTCAAAATAGCATTAAAGCTGAAGTCTGTAAGTTTTTAAAAATCACTTTTTTGTCATATTGGCTAAAACTGTCCCTATGCCCAGACAGCAGTACATGTGATATGTAACCTGTGAAAAAAACTGCTTCAATTGGTCCCGCATACTGCCTGTATTGCAATCTGGAAAGAATAATTCGGGACGAGTCAAAACAACCAATCACAGCCAGAGGAGCGTCTGATGGAGTGTCAATCACAGCTCACCCCCCCTCACCGCTTCAACCTGCCGCAGTCAGGAGGACGCGCGTGGAAGTCATGGCGGAGCGACAGCCACCAGCGAAAGAGAAACTGCCCTTACTGCCCCTGCCGACAACTGCTTACACGGCAAACTTCGGTATAACCAGCATCTTATATCTAGCTGCTTGGAGGTGAGTGTTATCGCTCTTACCGGTTCACACTCCATGCCGCGTACGCTGCTTGGACGCTTCTGGTCGCATGCGGTAGCCGCGCAGATGCTGTGAGAGGGGTGGAGCTTGGAGGTGGGGCATGAGTGAAGCAGAGAGGGTGGGGGAGTGGCGTGAAACCTGTTTTTCTTCAAATTTTCAGTCGAAGTCTGCTCTCTTCTCAATGTTACATACTGCAGCTTTAAAACCATAATTTGTGTGAAATTTCAAAGAAACTTGATACTGAAGTAATGTCAAAATGACATCATTATTTGACATTCATCATCATTTGATGTCAAAGAATTGATGTCAGGTTGATTTCATTTTATTTTTGGACCAAATCATGATGACGATTTGATGTCAGTATTGGATTTTCCAGTGATGTTGAACTGACGTCTTTTCCCCACTGGGAGTGATCCTCAGAGGAGCTGCTGCTTCATAACAAACCAGCTGTGATGGTTCGGTCATCCGGGATGGAGACCTTTGCCTCAGAGTTCCTCCCATGTGAGCGGAAGGAGGCCATATTGATGTTTAACACTGGAGCATCCTCCATGAAAGCAAAGCTTCTGCATCCCACTTTTTGTGGGCTTATTGACGGCAACAAATGAACTCTGTGGTGTAATTTATGTGCATATATAAAGTGAAGTAAAGAACAGTCCAGTTAGTCATGCTGACGTGTTTACTGGACGTTTAGGGGAAGACTACTGCTGCAGAGAAAGCAGACTCCCTGCAGGATTCATCTCTCTCCTTGAACCGAATGGGCTCAGCTCCACCAGCAGCAGCGCAGCGTTCAAGGCTACCTCTATAAATCTGCTCTGTTTGGGTAGGGGGGGCCCTCTGGTTCCCATGTGTAGCCATGATGACTAATTTGGAGTTGCTACAGTAAAAGCAGAGGTTACAGAAGGACAATTTATAAAAGAAACATCTAGTTTGGGATGTGAGGAGCTTAGAGGAGGTTTGAATTTACAAATATTTTAAATACCTCCTTTAGGTTCGGTTGGATGATGTAAGCATTAAGGTTTCAGGCCTGTTTACTCCTAAAATATAATAAAACTTCTTTTTTTTCTTTTTTTTTCTAGGTTTTACAGCTTAAGTGGCTTGTTTTTTCTGACAGTAGGCTGACAGGAAAGAGGGGGTGAGACATGCAGCAGAGGACCACAGGTTGGATTATGAACCTGGATCGGCCACGCTGAGGGCTAAGGCATCTGTATATGGGTCCTGCCACCAACCACTGCGCCACCTGCACACCCCCAATACAAAAACTGATAACCTATAAAAAAGACCCAAGTTGTTTAATAAACCAGAAATCCTCCTTGATGGTCCTCTGGGTCGGATCGGCTGAGATCACCATCCAGGTGAGCTTTCAGTGAAAGCAGATGGGAATGTGGTACCAAAGGGGGCGTGGCTTACAGGTAGAGGCTGTTTCAACTGTATGTGATGCTTTAAAGGGGTCATAGAATGCAAAACCGAGTTTCCATTGTCATAGATGAATAACGACAGTCCACTGGGTGAAATTGACGTACAGAGAAGTTCAAACTCCATCCACACCTCCTTTCTCTGCAAATCTCACAATTCTAAACTTCCACCATAAAACAGGCAAATTCAAATGCAGCAACAAATTGACGTAAACTCGGGGATGTTGCCTTATTTGGTCCTGGCCCGTACTTTTGTCACGCTGTGAAATTGACATACATACCAGCCCACTGGTTAAAAGCCCAAGAACATGAATACAGGTCGCTCCGTCCCCAGCTGGCTCCATCCGCAGGGGTTCCTGGACCAGCTCAGGAGCTGACGGCTCGGTACGAGCGCCCGGTCTGTTTCGACTACGTGCTGCACTTTAGTTGAGCAAAGTCCCGGATGATTTTGAAATTCCCCCCATTTGTTTAGGTATAAAAAGTAGGACATGTTCGGGAAAAAGAGGACATGTGGTCACCCTACCATATCAACAATTTAGATGTTTCAGTGAGTGAGTGCTTGTTGCTATAATGCACCTTTGCTCAGCAGCTTCGCTCGTTGTAAACCAACCAATCTGAGCACAGCTCATCTAAATATTCATGAGCATACAATGAAAGGAAGAAAACCTGTCTTTTCAGTCTGGGGCTTTAAACCAGGCTTCATTAGGGCTCATAGAACAGCAAACATGTCATCACCAAATACCCTATAGAATCATTCTATGACCCTTTAATAAAAACTAAATTGTTATTCTTCATCTTTGATTTGTGTTTTTTCACCCTACTAGGACAATCAGCAGATAATCAAAAATATTATATAACCCCAATTTTCACTGTAAGTGACAGAGGGGGGGATGGGAGTCATTCATTCATGACATTAGCTCTGAAATGAACTTTAACCTGTTGACTTAGACTTGATATTTGACCCAAAATTTAAAGTTTAAAACAACTGTGTGAAAAAAACATTAACAATTTATTCATTTTATTCATCCTTTATTAATAATTTTAAACATATCTCTGTCTTTCCACCATATGGATGGATTTATGTGTAAACCGCAGCACAGAAGCCAGATTTTTCAAAATTAACCAGATTTTTGTTTTTTTTTTATGCAGATGTCCGCTAAAGATTTATTTATTTATACATAAAATACAAAAAATAAAAGACACTGGGGATGTCTGCCAACTGATTTCATATTATTGGGCGTAACTTAACATTTGTTTAAATGTGCATCTGTCTGCTAACGGCCTGTACTGTTTAAAGATGACTAGAACTGGCAGGTTTTTCACAATAAAATAACTCTTGCAGCTGATCTGTAAAAAAGCTGCTACCCCCGCGACCCGGATAGGCGGAAATGGATGGATGGATGGATGGATGGATGGATGGATGGATGGATGGATGGATGGATGGATGGATGGATGGATGGATGGATGGAAGTGAACTCTCACAAACAACTACAGGTGCTTGGCTCCAGGTACTTAGAGATTCACTTCCTTACAGAAAGCCCATATTCTTATCTTCAGCTACCACA